TGTCATTTGGAATGGATGATTTTAACAGAACATTAGTTGGATCCTTGAAACGATCCTCAGGTACTAGCAACATACGGGTCACTGTGTTCATTTGGCTATTTTACTGGCTACTAAAGATGCTAAAAGAGATAAGGCTGGTTTGAGTAGTAATGGAAGAAGAGCGCCACCTTTTTGATTCAAAATCTTTTGCATACTAGCTTTGCTTTTATTTCGAGCCAATGATCTCATTTGAGTCTTATATAATTTGAGTTTACTTAGACTTTTAGGTGGAACTTTTATCTTTCCTTTAAGAATGTTTTTTGAGATGTCGCCTAAAACAGTATAAACCTGACAAGGACATTTAGCCAGTATTTTCTTTCTTTTTAACTTTTGCTTTGTCTTTGCCAACTGACGTAGAGTAGGTAAAACTTTTATCGCTCTTTTGACTGACATTTTCTTAACTTATCTAGTTTAGTTAATCTTATATAATCATAGTTGATAAGCTATTATTGGTATAGTGAAAATATTTGATAGAAGTCGAACTTCATTTGGTGTTGCAGGTTTTAAGTCAATAAAAAGGTAAGAGTAAGGTAGTGATGTAGCATCTTCATAAATCTTCTGGAACTTGGCTATTTTACGAGGGAACATTTGTCGAGCAACAATTGTTGCTATTGATTGATCACGCGGATTTTTGAATAAAGTTATATATTGTGAGTTAAGTGATATATTTCTACTCTCACTTCCACGAATGAAAAAATTTTGTACAATTAAAATTATTGATAAATTTCTGTGATGACTTCCTTTTGTAAACAATTCTGAGATTAGCTTTGAACTGGCTGACTCATGCATTAAATCATCGATGATTATCCATGTTGGTTTTTTACCTAATGAGTTTATCGTGTCTTCCGGTAAACCACGAATAAATTCAACATTCTGAAATTCATTGAACTTGTCTTGATATTCACCATAGAAATATACACACCTTTCTGGAATAGGTTTACTAATTATCTTTGAATTGTCAATCAATTGTTTAACAAATTCAGTTTTTCCACAACCCGTTGGACCGGCAACTAACATAGTAAAAGGGTGACGCAAATAGACTTTATAATGAATCATGTTTATTTGTTATTTTTTCATTTCAATTTCTTATACAAAATTAGACAAGAGTTCCATAACTGTCTGGCCATCCATCTTTACGATCTTTGTCTTCTTTTCTCGGCGAACAATCTTTCTTTTTAAAGTCAATTAAATCAGGTTTTTTTCCACCCTTTTCGACCCACTTGCTCATTCCCATAACGGCATTTAAACTACACTTACCTGGGCCATTATGGAGAGAACAAGGGGTAGAACTGATTTCCAATGAATTCCAAGTACCACCAAGTCTTTCAAGATTGATTCTAGGAATACCAAAGGCTCGAAGGATAGACTCTGATTCTTTCGACTTACAGGCTACTAGATATTGATCAGGGTTAACATTAGCCTCGTAAAACGTAATCAGAAGAGTCTTCATAGCGGTGAGGCTTATTCCTCGCTTGGCATCGAACGGCAAACCGTGAAGGTTTCGCATGCAGTGGGAGGCTGATCGTTTTTCATACCAAGATAGGTCTTGGTACTTGATACCATGATCAACGCTGAAAACACTAGTACCCGTCTTGTTATGGATAGCAAACTCACGAGGATAGAACTTATCATTGTAATAGAAACCTTGAGCATCAAAGTAACAACAAATATATTCCATGATGATTAAATGAACTGATGTCAACTAACATTGACTCTCTTTATTTATACTAAACATTTGGTTCATATACAGTAAAGACCGCAAGAGGGCGGGATTCTCAGTATGAGCATCAACCAATCCCTTCAAGAAGTCACCGTTGAGTTTCTTCATAAAGATAACCTTGGGAATGTGTTCACGTGGCCACATCGTGTTGATGTAATTACTTGCATAGTCTTGCCATATTTGATCAGAATTAGTTATGAGTTGATTAGAGCTTTCTTTCGTTAGTTTTCCGTTGATAATCATTTCTTCTTCTTTCCAAGGTTGATCAATACGACCGGTTTCCTTTATCAATGTTGCTAAGATAAAAACGTCTGCAAGAAATAATGAGCCTTTAAGAGTCCTTGACGAGTAGATTACAGGTGATAACATTTCCATTAAGTAAACAACACCAGGGATTAGAGCATTTACTGTTGGAACAACAACTTTATCTATACAAAGTCTCCGATTTCTTTTAGATAGAGTAATTCCATTGTCATTGTTTTCGATTGTTAGTTCTTCTATTGTTTCCGTGGCTCCAATTTCGTCTATCTTCGAATTACAGAAATCACCAAGTCCACTGAGTTCACGTCTAGTTAGATTAACACCAGCCAATGTAGGTTTATCTTCGATGAACTCACGTAGATCTACTTGCACATCTAATCTCACCATTTCTGAGTTCACCCCATGAAATAGTTAAATTGTACTTGTTGATTTTAATAGGATTTAACGATAACCAGTTTAATGTTGACATGTTGAACGCTTGATTTATAATGAATTTTCACCTCGTTTCACTTCCCTTTTTATACCTACTAGAGTTTTGAACTCATTGAACATCTCCTGCAACCCTTTGTAAGACTTAGCTCCAGTAACGATTAACTTTCCGGTTGAGTAATAAACAACGCATAATTTATCTTTTCTCCAAATATATGCAGGAAAAATTTCAGGTTCATAACTCACCCAGGTAGATTTTCAATATTGGGTTTACTTTTAAGGAAAGCAGATGCTGTGATGTTAACAATACGAATAAATTTGGCTCCTGGATAAACAGATTGAACATGAACACGAGCTTGTTTTATTGTTTTACATCCTGTGGCAATAATTTTTCCTGATTCAAATGTTAGAAGAGTCTGTAGACCATTTTTTATTACATCTGCATTGAATTTTTTCATTCGATTGTTGAGAGGAATTTTTTGACCATAGTCCCATAATGACACGAGATTAGCTATTTTCATTTTGAACAAAAGAGATGATGAAATAATACCTAAAGATTATGAGAATGGTTAGAGCGAGGAAAAGCAGCAACGCGTAGACTAGATCACTCATGATTGACCGATTAAATAAATTGTTACAAGTATTTATACATTTTTTAATAACTTTATTCTTATATTAGATCATTTTTGACCAAGAAAGATTCATATTTCTCTGAGAATTCTTTGCTCTTCAGTAGCTTCATCAACTCCAAATCCGCTTTAACATGGCCAAATGTCAATTTATTCGGGAGATTGTCATAATCTATTTGGTCAACAAGAGCTTTTAAACGTTTGAATGTAACGAAAGAGACTACAACAGTCCAATTTGGTCCATCGATTTCATCATACCCAGCTGGTGCACTATGCGCCCATTCAGTTATCTTTACTGTCAAATTTTCATTTTTAACAATATCAATTATTAGATTGACTTTAGGCCACTTGCACCATAATTAAACACAACTTGATCTGTCCACATTTTGATACTAATAGTTAACTAACAAAGACTAGTGCTTTTTATACCTATTTTTATTGCATCATCTTTTATTACGTCATTCTACTCAGTTCATTAGTCCTAACATCGAATGATGGTTTCAAGGACACTATTGACGTCATCCCAGACAGTTCATTGAACTTTCTAGAATGTTCTAGAACGTTCTCTGATCCCCACCCCCATTTCCGTTTCCGCTTCTGGCTCAGAAGCGGAGGTTTTCATACTACTAGTATCAAGATAATGATGAAGAAAAATGTTCCACCATGAATGTTGGAGGGAAAAGAAGGAAATTCGAACAAAAAAAACGATTCTTCTTTCGTTCTATCTGCAGAATTTTTCTCCAGTTAATCAATTCTGAGAATCCAAAGGTTGATGACAATTGAAAATTCATTCGTGACTTTAGAATCATCATCAAGAAACATTTCATATTCTTTTATCATCACTATTATATCATCATGTAAGTTGTGAGTATTCGTACATATAAATGAAGAATGAAAGAAAATAAAAAAGTTCTAATGTTAATTTCTTATTGATTGTTATCAAAGTTCAATAACAATTTATCATTAGAAAATTTTTTCACTTCTCCATCACCATAGTAGCTTTAGATGAGGAAAATGTTGATTATAATTAAGAAACTGCTTCATTCATTGATACCTGAAAGAATAGCGAGAGAAAAAAAAATCAAGAAATCAATATTAATTATCCATGTTAACACAATTAATACAAAGTAATTAACATTTCTTTAGGTTGATTCTGAGGTTTCAACCAGAATCATCCTCTTCCTGGTTCTCAGTTCAACTACTAGATTCTTAAAATTATTCCAGGATAAGAAATTAATTCTCATGGTGATATAACCTAATTATGATAATATATTTGAAACAGAAAAAAAATGTATTATCATGATTAAATCAGATTCTGTTCTGATAATATTATCAATCACAATTTTTGTTTTTCTTTTCACAACCATAACCATGTAATAAGATGATGATAATTCATGGTAAGTGTATTAAGATGTTTCCATGAATACATCAGGATTATTTCAAAGTGATGGGGGAAAAATTAGATATTATCAATTATCTCAGTTGATTGCTGGAATTGATGAAAAAACTTGATAAGTGTTGATTGAAAAACAGGGTATTCAAATATTAAGGGTATTAACCAAATTCTCATATCAATATCAAATCGCAAGTGATTAACTGTTGATAATTACGACTAACATGCCTGAGGGGATGGTGACATTTTCCTTGAAATTAATACATTTACATGAAAGTTTTGTCATTTTTCAGGTTAAAACTTTTCTTTGCCTGAAAATATTCTGGAACCATGTTCACCTTATCATGAATCATTCTGAGAATATGAATATTCATGGTTTTGTCTTATGTATATAAATAAGATTCTGATAATATCTCATATCGGAAACTGAATCTAATCTTGTATTGAAACGGAAATGAAAAGTTGAACCAATTTCCTTTCGTGATGATCTTCAAATTTTTTCATTTGCAATCCATGTATATGAATCTGCTTTTTGAAATGATTCAGGATCATGATCATTGTTTATTCATGGTAAACAATTAGTTTCGGCTCATTAAGATGAAAGCGAAAAGGGTGGAAAAAAGTTTAACAAAGTTTCTTGATTATCTTGATTATCGATTATCCAAATTTATATTAATATCTTACCGTTAATTGTTTGAACTAATTGCGTCCTTTAGGTTTGATTAAATTACAACACGTTTTCTCACTTTTATACTCGGATGGTGATACATTACAGTTACGAGCGGTTAAAAAGATCAACAATGGAACCGAAGGTCACAATTTCCTCCGGGCGATTGAGCATAAGGATAAAGATACCATGAAATATGTGATAGTCGAGTGCGATGCTGAGATAGCCAAGGAAATGATATCGAAACATGTTCGTGATATTTACATGGGTCGAAGAAATTTCCATTACTTTCTGACCAATCTGATAATGGATCAATTTACTGGAATGAAAATCGATGAATTTGGTGCAATTAATATAACAGGATTTCGAATTCTTAATCGTAGTTCAATTTTTTTCCGAACTTTCATCTCATCATGGAAAACATTAGATCCATTCCATTGGCCTGGTGCTGGACATCGATACATATCGGTAAGTCTAATATTGTCCAATAGAAAATACGAAAAACAAATTCGTAATTCAATATGATAAGATCAATGTTCATCTTATTATAATAATAGATTCGAGTTCCAACCTCCAGCGAGAGAGAAAATTCTTATTCTTATTTTCCATTCTTGATATGAGCTGTCGAGAGGTAGAATTTGTATTAATAATTTACCTGGAGAGAGAGAGAAAAGAGAGAGAGAGAGAGAGAGAGAAAGATTGAAAAGATCGATATCTTGTTCGAAAATTTTTCACTTTCGTGGTAAAAACGAATTGGAAAGATTATCGAAAATAAACCAAATCATCAACAACAGAAGTAGAAAAATATTTTTCTGATACATTGAAAGATCCATGAAGAACATGATGAAAAAAAAAGAGACTGGAAATGTTCAGTGAACATGAAACATTTACATTCAACTTTTTCCTTATTTCTCATCATCATCAACTGAATTACTCCAAAGAATCGTAATCTTTTTTTACTTTTACCTGAGTATTTCTTTTCCTCATCTTCTTAATACATAATATCTTATTCAAGGTAGTATTTTCTATCTTCTTCTACTCTCATCTTCCTCATCCTGTCCAGAACAGAAGACAGATAATAATAACAAGAGAACCTTTAATCTTACTCTCAGGTTACTTTACCTACACTATTAACCATTCAAATTGATGGCTTCTTACCTGAAATAATGATCATCATGATAATAACAATAATAACTAACAACTCACAGGGAAACAGGGATAATGTTACTTGATTGAGAGAGAGAGAGAGAGAGAGAGAGAGAGAGAACTAAATAAACTCAGAATTCAAGTTTATCTCAATCTATTTCCAAAGTGTTGTCATGTTTTCTTGATGATATTTTGTTTTATCATCACCAGTACTTAGCATTAGATTAACTGGAAAACCATGTAACTCAAATGAGATGAGATTTAAACTCTTACCTGAGCAACATTTTCATCATCAAGTGGAAACAAAAACAAAATCATACAAGTAAATAAATACACTAATCATTAACCACTTCAATCACCTTTACAATCATTTCCAACTTGACCAATGGTCACTAACAAGTTGATAATAATCTGAAATCTAATTGATAATCTCTCATTTGTATACAACATTAACAATCATCATTGAGTTTCCTTATTGAAAGTTAATCGGTAAAAAACAAGTTAAACCAAATACTATTATCAATATGAGAACCATTGAGATATTATAAGGATAAGTTTATCTGCTTTGGATAAGACAAAGAGTATTATTGATATTTTCACCTTTTTTTTCATGATAAAACTCAGAATGTTACTTTTTTATAAAGATAATATATTTTATCAGATTTACCTTGAAACCATTTTTTACTTCATCACAACCAGAACATCAGCAATATATATTATTAAGACCACGAAGTTCAACTGACATATAAAGTTATTAGATTCTCAGTTTTTTTTTCTGGAAAGAATCAGGGATAACGGGATATTCATTGTATCTCTTTTGTCTGAGTAATTTTCCAGAACAGAATAAATTCTGTCTTTTTTCAGTCAATGTTTCATCAATCAAGAAGAGAGAGAGAGAGAAAAGTTAAATCGAAGAGAAAAAAGAGAGAGACAATATATTAGTATTATTGGAAGAGAAAATCGTTAATCATTAACATCCTCTTCTTCCTGTATCATCATTGTCATCAAAAAGATAAAACTAACAGAAAATGTTTCTCACCTGAGATAATGATCAAGAAAGGTAAAGAAAAAAAATCCACAAAAATGTTAAGAGAAAATCAAGAAAAAAAAGTTCTGATAGTTTCTCATGAAAATATCTATTGAACAAGAATTTAACTTACAGAATCTCTATTAATAATGGTAATATAACTTTCGCCTTTCGCTATCATGAGGTAAAATTTCATCTTTTTGAAATATTTTTCATCAGTTGATTTTGTTTTTTGAATATTTTTCTGGTTACCTGAGTTTCGGTGAAACCATTCAACTATTTCAATCATTTATTAATATCATTTATCATGTCATCATCATCTTGACATAATATCCGTTTGTTAACCGGAGTTTTTTTTTTGCCTCCTGAATAATAAATTGAATTATTCTTATCCGTTGATTGTTTATCGATAATCAATTTCTCAGGCCGATGCTGCTCTCATGTTTGACGGAACCAGAATATTATTGGACACACTCGAGCGAATACTAATTGAACATCCAAACATTTTCGATGGAAACTTAAGAGGTAATGAGGTTTACAATGGAAATAGTCCAAAACCGGGAATCAATTGCGCTGAAACTTATCCAACACTCCACTGGGAACACGGCAAGTTAATCAAACAATACCTGCGACAGGTAAACGATAAAAGAATCAGCGATTAGCTCAATAATTTGATAATCTTTTCTTTGCTCTTTTTTTTCGTACCTTAAAAGACCAACATTGAAGGATTAACGGGTAAAATTATATTTGATGAATTGGGAGTTCGTCGAAACTATTCAATTGATATGATTCAAACAACGATGAACAGTGAGATGACCAAAATCGCCGAATGGTCAGAGCAAGTGGGAATGTCCTCAGTTCCAGCAAATTATCATCGGGTTTACCAGAGTAATGCTAATTATGAGAATAAAACTTATATCGTTACAAGTATTATCGTAAGTAAATAACGACCAAAAATAAAACAGTTCCAATTGATATTGATCATATTGAGAATTTGTAATCTAATATCATAATCGATAATCAAAATTACATTTGTTTACTTTTCTTGACAAATAAAAAAGGAGGAACCTTATCTCATGTATAAGGAAAAAACTGAAGATGGAGTTGAATATGAAGGAAATGATAGATTTGAAGGTTATTGTAAAGATTTAGCTGATTTAATTGCTGAACATTTGAAAATCAATTATGTACTTCAATTGGTTGCTGATCGTCGATATGGTGGAACTGATAAAAACTCCCCTGTAGGTTGGAATGGGATGGTTGGTGAATTAATTAAACAGGTAATAAATCATTTTCTTGCAATCATCAATCAACAATCAATCTGGATACAAATAATATCAATGATTCAGTGTAAAGATTATCTTTGTTTATCTATCAAACAATTCACATGAGAATTGATGAGAGAGAGAGAAAACCTCAACATGATATTGAGAATTGAGAGTTTCCTTTTCTAATTCAACTTGGAATATCTCAGAACTTTTTTCTATTATCATTATTTCATCAAATTCTCTTTCTCTTCCTTGTTTTACATTAGATTTTATCAATAATAATATTCTTACATAGGAATAACTATTCTATTATCTTCATGTTCAATTCCAACACTTATTTGTAAATCTATGGAAAAAGATTTACCTGTTTATTTGTTTACCTATTCTCAAGATCATTTCTATTCAATTTTACCACTCAATGAATCTCAATTTCAATTCTTCATCATGGTGATCAGTAAAAAAAACAGATAAATATCATGATTTTTATATGGATCAACGTTTGTAAAAGAATCGGAAATTTTTACTCTCATATCATCAACCATAATTCTTGTTTGTTCATCGAGAGATTCAATCTCCTTAAATCTCATCAATTGAAATAAACAATTGATTTTTCATGAAATGGGAAGTAAAAGTTCAATAAAAATCAGTCTTATGCAAATAATCACAAATCAATGGAATCAAATGATAGTAGTATCTAAATACGTACTTGAAATATTGATCAAATTGCTTTAGATTGAAAATAAATTAATATTCAGGAATTAATCTGCATTCTTTTTCTTGACAACCAGATTAAAGGATTAATTGATTATCTCCTCTTGTTGTTGAACTTTTCCAGGAAGCTGATATTGCGATTGCACCGTTGACCATTACTTCAGCTCGAGAACGTGTTATTGACTTTACGAAGCCTTTCCTATCCCTTGGAATCAGTATTATGATTAAGAAACCAGCGAAAAAGAATCCAAGTATTTTCTCCTTTATGAATCCACTTAGTCAAGAGATTTGGATGTGTATCATTTTATCGTATTTCGGTGTTTCCGTTGTCATGTTCATTGTCAGTCGATTCTCACCAATGGAATGTCGAGTTGCCCATACCCATGAGGGTCAAACAGTTCTGACCAACGATTTTACTCTCTACAATAGCCTTTGGTTTGCACTTGGAGCCATCATGCAACAGGGAGTAGATGTTTGTCCAAGGTGAGTAGTTGATCAATTCAGTGTTTCCTGTAAATCGGACGAAAATTTCATCTTGAAAGGTCAAATGATCATCCTAAGCAAGAGAAAACTTCATGTTGAATCTTTTTCGTTGTATTGAAATTTTATGTCCAAAAAAACGAACTTTGTGTTTTCGTTTGAACCTCCGTTTCGTGGTTAACTTGAATAGTTATCTTAATTATTAACGGCTCATCAACCAACAGTTTTGTTGTTAATTGTTGTTGATTAGTTTTCTTGAAATATTTTAATCAATAAAGGAACAATTATTAACTATTCAATCGATTGAGATGAACAATCATGAGCATGAGAATTTCTCTTTACATTTGAGGAAATATTTTCTTTCTTTCTCTCTTTTATCAAATGGAAAAGTTCAGTTCAATTCGGAATTCTGATCATATTAATATTTAAGATAATGTTCTGACAATAATCAACATTAAATTGTTGTTTGTATTGTTAACATACACAAAAAAAATTCTATCTCTTGATAAAAAGTTTGCTCATCGAATTCTAGAAGTTCCAAGTTAAATTGTTGATTCTTTACACGTTTTAATGATCTAAACATTTTCCATTTGGTGTAAGAAAAGATAACAAATGATTTATCACTTTAATCGTCGAAATCATCATTCCGATAATTGCAATTGATAAATTAAATTTCAATTTAAACTTAATGTCAACTGGAAAACAATTGAGACTTTTTTTCTCATCGATTCCCTTGATAGTTTTCTGTTCAAAAGAAAATGAATTAAAATTGTCATTAAGATTTGTAGTTATTGTTTAATTATGATAATCGATTATCAGTTGATTAAAGCAGCGAATCAGCTGTTTAAATGAATCATCATCCGACCAGTTTAATCAAATTTTCCATGACAGAGTCAATTGTCAACAATTTACTAATAATGTGACAACAATCAGTCTGATTGTTAACGAAATTGATTAGTAATGAAATTAATGATAATCATGTTAATATAATGATGATAATTTTTTCCATGTTCAGGAGAGATGATGAGAAGAATGATGATAAAAAAGATGATGATTAAATTTCATGATAATCTCTCTAAGGGATGAGTTTGAAAAGAGAGAGAGAAAAAGTTCTGAGCAAAATGTTGATTCAAATTATATCTTTTTATCATCATGTTTACATCATCATTCCCAATGAGTCTCACTAGACTTTTGATAAATATCAAGATGATTATCATGTTCACTGATATAAAAGATGATTTTATCATCTTCATATTATTAATAGATCAGAATTTAGGATTGAATTCAATTCAATGTCAATATTGGAATCAGTAATGAGAATGTTATTCTGATCTTAATTACATCAATTAGCAAACATGATGAATCATATTTGACATCAACGATTGAATCTATTTCTAAATTCTGATCTCTTTCATGTAATAATCATATTCAGATTGATTGACATTATTGAATATTGTAAGATTGTTACAATCAACTGAAGATGTTTACATTGAATTCTGAGAGTTAATTTGATAAAAGGTTAATAAATGTCATCTCAAATGGTTAGACAGATTAATAGTTAAGGTAATAGTCATAATAAATATGAGTATGATGTTAATGATAGTCGATATGTAGTTAAGATTATTGTACATGTTGAATGTTTCAATAATCATAAACACTTAGTGAATATATAAATAGTTTTATTACCTTATCGTCATCATGTTGATTAAATGTTATGGTTTGATTATCCAAAATTTGGTAATATTCATTGTCATTTATCACAATTTATATATTACCGAGTTCACTTGCCATTGATTGTTGATCTTTCTCTGTCTTTGTCATTTCTTTTGATTGTTTCTGTTTTTGAGTGGGGGGAAAATTACGATGATGATGATGATGAGAATGGATTTGATTTGATTTCTAGCTTTACTTTTATGATCCTCTTTGATTTCTGTGCCAATGTAATTTAACTTCAGAATTGTTATTATGATGGGAATGAATTTACATCCAGAAAATTGATTTGGAATAGGCTAATGCTGGATAAATCTAAGTCAACTTATACATAATCATTTATATTATTTATTATTGATGAGATGTTAGTCTTGTATGAAAGTTGATGATGATGAATCAATTGAGGTTATCTGGAGTGAAACCGATTACATGAATTTTCTCCTTCTCCTTTGACATGGTATGATGATGATGATCTCTTTCATTTCTGATTACCCTCCGCCCAGTTAATTATTGGTAATCTTTGGATGTCACCAATACAAGAATATGCTCCAATCAAGTTAACCATTCAATCATCTGGCATCTTTATCAATCTGTTAACCTTTTTTCATTCCATTTTCAATTACTGATCATAATATCAATCAAATGATGATGCAGTCAACTTGTATAGTGATTGTTTGATAACATTTTCTGATCATCCTTATCGATTGAACAAATTGGAACAATGTATCAAAATCTTCTTTGCTTTCAGTTAAGTGTCCACTTGATGAGAGGGTGAGAAAATAGAAAAACAAATTGTCACCGGTAATTACAATTCTTAATTAGCAGGTTAACTTTCTTATTCTTGATAATTTCTTCTCATTTCACTGAGCAATTAATCCATTCTCATTTGTAATAAACGACATAATTATAAGATGATAAACATTTGATCTCCTTTGTCTCATTTGATTGATGAATTATCCTTTGAGTTTAACATTTCCATTGTTTTTTTTCCTATTCTTCAACATTCTCCTTCTCGTTAATTGTGGATTGTTTTGCCTTCTCCAACCGAGTAATATTCCATAATAAACATTCATCTGTTCCATCAGATTATCGTTGAATTTACCAAGAACAAGACTTATCTGTGATAGAGAAAAAAAAATTAGAATAAGATTACATCTTAAATTGAGTAATAAGATAGAATAGAAAAAAAAGTCTAAGCAGAAAAAGAGAGAAAAAGAAGAAAAAAAACTAGAATCATTAACGTAATAGAATAAAATTCGTCACCATTATTAGCAACATCGTTTACCTAATCAAAGTGAACACTATTAGAGATGACAATCAATTTGAGGTCACAATTAATTTGATTAAAATTCCACTAAAGTCTAATATTAATCAACATCATAATCTCAAAATGTAAAATTTAAAAAGTCAAAGTGTCAACCATATTGGTTAATCCAAACCCTATAAATGTGTTAATGTAGAAACAATAGATTCCAATTAAAATTACAACTTACCTTACAACAAATATCTCACATCTTACCAGGTGAACAATTAACAAAATTACTTAATTAACACAAGAAATTAACGATATAATCAAGATGAAACAATTAAGAGAAATTAATTTTCATTAGAATAGAAAAAGAATGAAGTTACTAGCGACACCTGGTGGAGAAGAATTTCAACCAATGAAAGAGAAAAAATTTAATTTAGAAAATGAAAACAAAGAAATTTTAATGTTGATCTTTTTTAATTATTAGTTAACTAATTGATAGATTTGTGGATAATTTTTTTTCTACAATTTGTTATGGATGAAAATCCAATGGATACATTGATTGTGAGAAGAATTAACAATATTCTTTGATTTGTTTTACGTTTCATTTCAGATCTTATGCTGGTCGGATCGTTGGAAGTGTTTGGTGGTTTTTCACTTTAATTATCATTTCCTCTTATACCGCTAATTTAGCTGCTTTTTTAACGGTTGAACGTATGGTTACACCAATTAACAGTGCTGATGATCTTGCCAAACAAACGGAGGTCGAATATGGTGTCCTTAAAGATTCATCGACGATGGAATTTTTCAAGGTAAAGTTGATTGACAAAATTGATTTGATTTTCTCTTTGTGGTGATTGATTTGTTTTTTTCTTTTTCTTTGTCTTTGTCTCCTTATTTTATTTTTCTATAGAAATCAAAGATTCAGGTTTATTCTCGTATGTGGGAATTTATGAATTCTCATCCTCATGTTTTCGTTGATTCATATCAACAAGGTATTCGCCGTACGTGAATCAAAGGGTAAATATGCTTTCCTCATGGAATCAACTTCAAATGATTATATTAATCAGCGACAACCTTGTGACACAATGAAAGTTGGACGTAATTTGGATGCTAAAGGTTTCGGTGTATACACCATTAGGATCACCATTAAGGGTATCACTTAATTTAGCTGTTCTCCATCTAACCGAGAAAGGTGATTTAACTAGATTGGAAAATAAATGGTGGTATGATAGATCTGAATGTAAATCAAGTGATTCCAAGGAATCAAGTAAAAGTTCATTAACACTTTATAATGTTGCCGGTTGTTTCTACATTCTAATTGCTGGTTTAATTATCTCAATGTTTGTTGCATTCTGTGAATATCTTTGGAGATCTCGTAAAGAATCAGAAAGATTTAAAGTTAGAGAAACTTTAATTAACAACAAGTTACATTAACTACTACATTGACTTTCATCAGTTGATTAACGATTATGTTGTAAATCGTTCCGTTAATCATTATCATCTTATGACAAGATATATTCGACTGACGACTCAAATTAGTTGATTATCTTAAATCATGTTAATCAAGTGCCAAATCATCAGCATAATGATCAACCAATCAATTGATAAACTGTTAATTGTTCTTTCAATGCCAAAAAAACAACAACAATCAACTTTCATTAATTGTTCTCAACGTTTTCTCGCAATGTTGATAATACATCGTAAATTTATAATCATTATCAACTGATTATCTAAATTTGTAAAAGAAAAAAAAATTCCCTATTCAATCATCATGCACCTAATTCTGCTCAAAATAATCATCACAATTCAACTTTAAATTATCCACTGATTGTTGACTAATTAAAGCGAGTCAAGAAAAGTACTAATTCTAATATCAAATTTATCCATCTCATCATCACCATTCAATTTAAAACCCAAGACAATTAGGATGGACAATTTTCTCAATCAAAATTCGGAGACAATACGAATTTCTTAAAGCACAAAATTTTTACTTTCAATTAAATTTACGATCAATTGTAATTCCGATAATTAAAACTGAACAATAAACAATCTAGTTACAAATATTTTCGAGAAAAACCTGACCAATTAGATATTTAATCTCGATAACAAGTCCCAGGGAATTTCACTCCAAGTTTTTGGTGAATAACTCGAACTCTGGGATATTAGTTGATATTCAATTTTCTTATTTCAAGGTTAAGGACAAATAGATCGTAACACTTATACATATGAAGATCCAATTTGAAAAGATTTTAGAAGAGTTCGAACTTCGAAGTTGATTTCTTATCCGAAGTTATAAAAATTGTCTTTTTAAAACGCAACAAATGTCGAATATCCTTTTATCTTATTTGAATGCATGACATCATTAAATTTGGAAGTTTATCACATTTGATTGACCTTGAAAATTAATGGAATCCTTGCTGAACATTTGTCCTTAAATGAACTTGACCCCAAAATGTGAACATGAATACGAGGGGAGAATAGTTCTAATAGGAATAAGGTAAGAATCGAATAGGAACAGAAATTTTGAGCATCATAATTGCATTCAAAACGATTTTCTGTACCATCCAATTCCAAATTTCTCTCTCATGATTGCTGTTAAAGCGATTAAAATGAACGACCTTTTGTGATTTGACAAAAAAATTTCATTTACGAATTTTGTTTGAATTTGGCGCTTCACTTTTCGAATAGAATTTGTTTCTGGTTAGAGCGCCAACATCAAATTCTTTCTTTTTTATTTTCTTTTTTTTTCTTGTGTTCAATTTTCTCTGATCGTTAGTTAATTGTTTCTCTTTAAATTTATTTTCCTTTTTTACTATAATTTGATTATCATGTCTTCTTGTATTCAAAGACTTCCAGAGGATGTGATTCGTAAAATCAAAGCCGGTGAAGTGATTGTCCGACCTTTCAATGCAGTTAAAGAGCTAATTGAGAATAGGTAAGTTATGTTTTTAAACTTCTCTTCATATTTTAACTCTTTTTTTTTGTCAAAATTCTAATTTCATTGACATATTTATATAGTTTGGATGCTAAATCAACTCATATCATTGTGAAAATTAAAGGAGGAGGAAGAGACACCATCCAAGTTCAAGATAATGGAATCGGTATATCGGTTAGTTGATGATGGAAGTAAGAAAATGTTACACTTGAACTGTGATTGTTTTCGCTTTATTTTCTATATTTATATTCTATCATTAATTGTATCGAAATTTTGTTAATTTACCCTTTTAGAAAGATGATCTGATGATAGCTTTCCAGAAACACACAACATCCAAATTGTCAACATTTGATGACATCACCAAATTGACAACCTATGGATTCCGAGGTGAAGCTTTATCATCTATGGCCGATGCATCCCAATTGACAATAATCTCAAGAGTAAAGAGTAGTGTCTGTGGTTACAAAGTTTGTATAGTTGAAGGAAATGTGGAAACAAATGAACCAATTGCAATGGCAGCCAATCCAGGAACCACTGTAACCATTAATCAGCTATTCTTTAATATGCCATTAAGGCGAAAGTCTCTTAAACCTCCAAATGAAGAGTACAACGCAATAGTTGATCTAATTTCTAAATATGCTGTTCATTGTTCAAATTTTGTTTCCTTTGTCCTTGAAAAAGAAGAATCCAGAGTTTGTGATGTACAAACAATGATCGATTCTCAAACAATTGACAATATTCGCCTTCTATATGGTAAAGATATCGCCGCCAATGTTACCCCAATCATGGCCACTTCGTCTCGAGATATTTTCACTTGTACCGGTTTCATAAGTCAAATTAACCATTCGCTGAAAAAGATGATCTTTATCCTGTTCATTAACGATCGTTTGGTTGATTGTGCTCCTCTTAAAAAGTCAATTGAAGTAATTTACTCAAATTTTCTAATCAAAGGATCTCACCCGTTTGTTTATCTCAGTTTAAAATTGAGTCCATCAAATTTGGACGTAAATGTACATCCAAGTAAAAATGAGGTTCGATTCTTGTATGAAGAGCATATTCTGGGCGAAATCAAAGATTCCATTGAGAGTAAACTTTCCACCTCGACAACAACCCGAGTAATTAATACAACATTTTCTCAACCCAAATTAACCATAACTCAACAATCAACCAGCTCATCATCAAATAAGCTAAATACAACTATTGGTAGTTTAACATCAAGCCAATCGACGCCCAAAGTTTATCCATCTCAAAAGGTTCGAACCGATACCAGAAATCAAACTCTCCATGAAATTTGGCAACGGAATCAATTATGTTTACCATCGGGAGAAAATATGATCAGTCGAGAAATTAAACTTGACAGTGTTAAAGAACTTAGGAAAGAAGTTATCAATCAATGTGACACTGAACTTAATCGATTGCTAAGAGAATCATGTTTCGTTGGTGTAATTTCGGGAAATATTATCGCAATTCAACACGAGACAAAATTATTTGTCACCGATATCGAGAAATTATCTTTTCATCTTTTCTATCAAATTTATCTTCAAGATTTTGGTAACTTTGGTGTATTGGAATTAACTGAACCTGAAGATATTGGTAAATTATACGAAATGTATGAACCAAGTCGAACCAACGAATCAACAAGTTCTGATTATGTTCTGGCCAAATTGACCCGACGGCACGTACGAAATATGATCGATGATTATTTCAGTATCGAAATTAAACCTGAAGGGTTAATCAATACATTACCTGTCTTACTTAATGGTTATCATCCTAATCCATTGAATTTACCAAGATTTATCAATGATTTGGTTCATCATGTTGATTGGAAATCTGAGCAACTTTGTTTCCAAACTTTTGGTTCTGCATTAGCTAAACTCTATCAAGCCTCTTACCTTGATCATGAAAATCATGAAGATTGGGTTAAAACAGTTAAATCAATTCTTTATCCTAAAATCAAATCATATCTTAAACCATCATCAGAATTTGCTGATTTATTCACACTAATCACATCTACAAATGAACTGTACAAAGTTTTCGAACGTTGTTAAATCGAATCGAATATTAATCAATCAATTGAACAAGCAGATCTCATCGAATCTCTTGTTGAATTAATCATTACTGTTGATACCCTTTAAATACCATTGATTTAATCTTGATCATCTTTAAAACTAAATCTATTTGTTAATCATAATAATTGTCCAGTAGATGTTGATGAAAGAGAGACATTAATATAAAAAAGATGGAGACTCTAAGGAAGCCAAAGATGAAAATGATGAATGAACCTTCAGATGATTTTGATGACGATTCCATTATTAATTCCTTAGGACATATCAACGATGTTAACTGGCGATGATTAAGAAACAAGGAGATTGAAGAAGATCAAGAAACTTTTTTTTTCGTTAAGTTTTTTTTCAGAGATGATCTTCTCTCTCTCTTTCTCTCTCTCTCTCTCTCTCTCAAGAGAGGCGATGTGATGATGAGGATGAGAAGCCCAAGTAATCAAGGAGAAAAAAAGAAAGAAACTCAGATAGTAAAAGATGAGAAAAGGTAAAAAAGCCTTAAGGTGGATTGATTATAATGATAGTCTTTCCTTGGGTTGGGGCGAAAGTCAAGGAAACAACAATTATGATGATTTGGTCTTTTGCCGATGATTGCTTAGAATACAAATTGATTATGTTGGTTAATTCATTTTCTTTCTTCGCCTGTTATTAATAATCATCATAAAGGAGAAAATGTTTAACAAGCAGAAAAGGAAAAACAAAAAGGAGAACCAAGAAAATTGTTACCGATTAAAAACCATCGTAAAGGACAATTAATAATCTACAAACAGGACAAGCAAATAACAAGAGATTGGGACGCAAACTGACTTGCAAATTTCCAGTTAATTAATTACATCAACTTCTTCCCCATCTACAGGTATATTCTCACTTTTATCATCTCTCTCTCTCTCTCTCGTACTAATTGTTACCTGGTTACCTTTACAATCCTCTTATTCATTCACCTTATCCAAGTGTCTCCCATTCATAATTATCTATACTCATTCATTCATTAACACAATTATTGTTTTTGTCTTTCATCAGAGAATCAAAAACAAACAATTTCAATCAAAATAATTACGATTCTACCATTGATATCATTACAATTAACATTTTCCGTTACGCTTCAAATTGAAACTTTTGTTATTCTCTCATTTTAATGATGATCGTTAATTATTTTGATTTGTTTAATTTATTTGATTAACTGAAAGTTTTTTTCTTCAATTGTTGATTCTGCAACTTTCCAAAAATAATTTTCCACCTTAATTGTCAATAATTACCATTTGTTTAGATTGATTATTAACCTCGAGAGATTTTCACGTTTCCTATATTTGTTGCGTCTTCTTTTTTTCTAAAACAAAAAGAAGTGTTAACTTAAACAATTGGTTAATCTTGTCAAATTGTTTACCCTGATTATCATGATGATGATTATAAACCTCCGGTGAACCTCCTATTTTCATATGAATTATTACACTCTAAAGATATGGTGTGTGAATGAGAGAGAAACTCAAGCCCATCAATCAACTAATGTTAACCCTTAACATGATTTTTATTATCATTTTTTGGTTTTCTATTCTCTCTCAATGGTTAACACCTTTTGTCTCTCTCTCTCTCTCTCTCTCTCATCGTGAATCATTTTCCCTCATTTTCTTTTCTCTTTTCATTCTGTTCTCTTGTGTATAATTTTTGTTCTGCAAACACATTTTCATTTTCCTCCATTTTGTAAGTAAATCAACTTTCTCATCAACAAGTTAACCAATATACTAATTAACTCTCTCTCTCTCTCTCTCTCTCTTGATTTTCTTATCTCCATCTTAATTTAGCTTGGACAAGGAGGAGAAGCTGCTGTAATCAACACTCACCACACACATCAGAATTTACGGTAAATTTATAACAACATCACATAGCCCAAAGGAAAATTGCTCAATCAAAATGTTTGGAAAGTGGAAAATAACAATTTACTGTTAATCAATAATCATGCATCAAAAATGAATTGTAAACGAAAGGAGGAGAACAAGGTGGAGATTCAATGAAAAGAAGGAGGAACAATTTAATATAAATCCAAACTGTGGATAATTATTTGATTAACTGGTCAATTCAATCAACATCCGTACACACACATACACACATAGACAGACACAAACACAATTAACTAATACAATTACCAAAGGAAAATTATTTTCAATTGAAATGTTTACATTTTCGACTAGTTTGATTACTTGACCACATTCACAGGGAAAATTAGATTTGCAATTTGATACCAATTCTGATTTACGATTGCTATTGATTAATATTAACACTGATTCCATTATTTATTCACCAGAACAATTATCTAATTGAAAAGCCTTCATATTAACAATATAAACAACTTGAAGATGACATTAGATTTTTATATTATTATATGAATACTTAATGGGAAACAGTTTAATATTCATCATTTACATTTTAATTAACAATAATTTACATGATTTAATGTTGTTGAATTAAATCAACAATTGTAATTGTTACATGTAAATGTGTGGCCACCTCCATCAAAGGTAATCCATTATAAAACTTTGAGTGTTTTATAATAATTCAATGGTTAATTTGACAATTATCTTGTACAACAATTTCTTGATTATCTCAACATATCATCAACTCGGAGGTCTCACCAGTTTTGTTAATCACCCACCCACCTATTCACACACTAAACAGCAATCAAGTTGATTATATTCAACTAATTGCTGTCAACAAACAACAATCACAATCTTTCATAATATTAATTCACTTGAAAGTTAATAATATCAATCTAATTGACTTGGTAATGAGCTTAATCACTCAATCATCATTTGTGGCATTCATTGAACACGATGATGATGATAATAATAATAATACAAATACTAGAATTAATTATTATCATTATAATCACTAAATCATAATCAAAACTGAAACCAAAAAATAATTCAATCTTTTCCCATGTTAATCATTCATTCAAACATTTTAACTTAAATCTAATCATTGTTAATCTAATTGTAACTACAACAATCAAATTAACATGAGATGAAATTAACAAACAAGTCAAGAAAAAAAAAAAGATTCAACTAAAATTAAATAGTTAATTATTCAAAGTGATTAGTTAACAGATATACTATTAATAATCATGATGATTAGTTGATCTAAATTTGATTATCAATTTTCATTAATATTAAATAGAAACTTTTTTTTTCAGTTAATTGTTGAAGTCAAAGACTCACAATTAAAAGTTAATTGTTTGTCCGGAAAATTTGAAGAAAACAAATTTCTATCATTACCATTTGTCTAATATAAAAGAAACAGGTAACAATTAAATTACCTAATGATCTGATCTAATAACACAATCAAGTTAACTGACAATCAGGTCTACAATTAAAAGCCTAAAGTCAACAATTAACAAGAGACAAACCCTCGTAATTGTGATATCAATTTCTACTGTTAATTACTAAATTGTTGTTGAGTGAAAATTAAAAATCATCTTCCACCATTAACTAACTAGACAATTATCAGTTTAAGGTACATTAACCATAATCATTTAACCAGTTTAACAATTATAATTATAAATTGTAAAGAAACAAAGTTAAATAATTAATGGTTTCAATGTCAACAATTAATTGTTAACCAGGAAAAACAAATAACACAATTGAAGGGACACAATTAACAATCAAAGACACCTTAATATATATTTTAACAGGTATCATCATAACTAAATTTAAATTTCTACTACTTTTAATTACTAATCATTCATTAAACTACTAACAAATGATAACAATTAAGGCCAAATGATTGTAAACAAAAACTTTTCAACATAAACTTGAAAGTTAGATTTTTATATTATTTATCTTTAAATTTGTCTTAACAATTAACTTGATTGTTAGACTATTCATCAGCTAAGGTAAATTGTTGTGTGTGTGTGTAAAGTGATGAGGCAATTTAACGCTTAATCATTAACAATTTAATTTAACAGCGATTCCTTGTCAACAACAAGCGCGGGAAAAAAAAGTAAGAGACTTTTCATCTTCCTCTTTCTTGTCTTCCTTTTCATCATCATCGTCATCATCAAATGATACATATAATTATCTAGTTAAATAATACAGAAGCTCATTCATTCATTGTAACAATTTAAAATTTAGTTAATAATAGGTTTCGATAGCAATTTAATGATAATTTTCAACTAAATTATGACAATATTTTATTTCATCCATTAGTTAAATTGTATATTTAAATTGTTATCATTTTGATTGTAGTGTTATAATTTATCTGTCTATTTAATTCAGTTTTGTTTGTTGACAGTTGTTGATTATATGGTTTTCAAATTCAATCGCTAATCAGCCAATTGATTGATGATTTAATTTGAACAAATTGTTTACAATTTACAATTTTGAAGAGGTAAAATTTAATATTTCAGAATCAATTATTTTTCTATTGAAATGTTCAGTTTAACCAGGAATTCAAATGATTACATTTTAATTGTTTTCTAAATTACGATTGTTTCATTATCATTTCTATTATTATTTAATTACACTGTTGATGATTAGTTAACAATCTTAATTATATTATAATGATGATGATGATAATCTTAAACACTCCCAAGCAATTGTAAAGGTAAACATTTTGGGAAACACTTCAACTTTCAGGGTGTGATTGTCATAATTGGTTTTGATTATCATCACCCTGATCATGATGAAGATGAGAGAGAGAGAGAGATGATAATGATGAAGATAATTCTGAAAATTTCACTTTCTTTTTCATGAGAATCCTTGAAGATTAATTCAAGAATAATGATAATTCATGTTACCAACACTTAACTTCACCTTTAAGTTATCATCACCAACTCATGATGATGATCATCATCATCCTTGTATCTAAATCCAATCATTGTAAATTAAATGGCTCAAAATTAAATTGTAATTGTTGTTAATTCATTGTTACTCTTATTATTATTTTCTCAACTGATTTAAGGGCGATGCATTTTCTTGAAGGTGCTTGTTATTATGCCTCAGGCACTACAAAAGCCAAAAGGTTCAAGAACATATTAACGTTGTAATAATATAACAATAAACGCGTGCTGGGCGTACCAAGAGGATGAAGATGATCATGTTGGTTATAATTATGATGAAATAAACAACAAATAAACTCACAGATAATTGATAATCAAATAATAATGTTAAGGTGCCTCTTGTCTTGATTATTAAATGTTCAATTATCGCAAGTTAATTGTAACTCTTGTTTGTTTTTCTAGCTAAATTGTTATCTTGGTTAATTATGATGATGATGATGGTGATGATTATCATCTTTATCATCAACATAATCATGATAAAGGTTGGGTGTTGACAGCAGATTATATTCATAATTTATATTTGTATGGAAAAGTAAACAAGAACCTGATTACTATTAGCTAATTGTGTCCCTCCTGTTTGACAATTAACGAAAGTATTTAAATAACTTCACCAACAATCAATCAATTAAAACACTAAACTCACTAAATTGTGATAGTGATTTACAATCAGTGATTAATTTCCTAGTCAATTAAATCATATTCACATTGTTTAGATGATCAAATCTACAGCAAAAAAAAAAGTTTCCTTAGACTTTGATTGCCGCTTGATTGATTGGCAATTGATTAGTTACCATTAGATTTTTTTTAATCATCACAATTGGGATCACTAATTGTGGACAAATTAGATTAGTAGTAGCAGTTGATTAGATTTGATTTTCTGTTAATCAATCTTTTCATACTCATCAATAACTATAAATATCAATACTTTTCAATTGTTACAAATCCTCTTTGAACTTGTGGTGAAAAAAAAAGTTGTAGTTAAGTAAATTGTTCACAATCAATGATTTAATGATTAAGACACAAGATATACAACAATCAACAATCAACGAGAATTCAGTAGTAAATTGTTAATCAAGAAAAGTGTTGATTAGGTTAAGAAAATGTTTGGTAACATTTTCATTGAATGCCGACAATTTAACGTTTTTGATTGTTATTAATAGCTGTTGATTGTTGGGTTATAGTTGAATGATTGAAAGGTATTTCCAGCTTGATGATTAAGATGATGATGATGATGATGATGATGATGAAGGATAAAGATTAAGGATAAAGAGATGAAATTGGATTAATCATCTTTTTTTTCAACCAAAATCAAAGGTAAAAACAGTTTACCAGGTAATCATATGTTCATTGAAGCGATAAAATCATAATCAACAAATTGTAATTAATGACGATCACAATCAACGAATCAAATAACATTTCATCAACAATTAGGAATCTGTATCATTTAGTTTTATAGGAAGTGAAATGATTAACTGGACAATCAAACAGCAATTTAATCATTTTCAATATATTTTGTATTCTTCGTTTTTTAATCATCTCCCTTAATTGTTTTCTAGATAATTTATCATTATTATCATTCTGAGAAAATGTTAACAGTTTAATTGTTATTAATTTCTGTTACAAGTTGATTGTTACTTATTATACTTATTAAACTTCCGGTTCGTTAATTGTATCAGCGAAAATAATTAAAAATGAATTAACAATAAAAAGAGAGACAGACAGAATTACTATCGGAAAAGTATTCGTAACTATGGTAACGTATTCAGAACTTTTTTATGAAATAAATTTCTCAATCAAATTGTTTCTTTATCTTTTTCTTTGCTATAATAGTTAATTTATATTCCAATTGTGATTAATTACTTGTACCTCTTAATTAACGACATCATTAACCTATCCAATATTTAACTAACTCTTTCAACAATTTAACAATCTAATCATTATAATCAACACGTTTACTATTAAATATATATCAAATCAGATTAAATGGTTTATCATGAGGGTTAAATTGTTGCTATTTAATGAAAGTTAATTGGTGATAATCTATTTTCATTATATAAAAATTAAACCTAAAACTAAATCAATCTAATTGGTGAAATTTGTTTCCAAATTTCCCATAAAATTGTAAGTGACTACAAAAGCCAACAGTTAATTGTAATTAATCAAGTTAAATGTTGACAAAATCATGATGATCACAGGAACGATCAACAAGACACTCAATTGATTATAAAATCTGCAATTAAACTGATCAATGAATTTGATTATTATGACAATGGTTTCACCTTGTCAACCTTTTGATTAGATTGAGGTTTTTTTAATCAAAATCTTGATTGATTCGGATTTTTTTTTCTTTCTGTGGCTTCACAAATTAATTATTACAACAACAGTAACAATGATGATGAAGATGAAGATGAAGATGAAGATGATCACTTTGAATGATTGTTATCCCCTCATCATCCTTTTTGTCAAGTTTATTGATGCGATTGACATTTGATGGCACCAATGGTGACACTTGAACGAGGCCA